AAGGCCATCGGCCGAATGATCAGACCAGGCGCCAATCCACCTGATCAAAACTAAAAAACTAATTCGACCTGTCCCAACATCATAGCAGGCGTCCGACGGCATCCCTCCGGATGAAATTCGTCGCAGAGAGCAGCTCCCTTTTGGGTGGAACATTGTTCTATAAACTAATTACACGGCACCTATACGACTGTCCCAAAGGGCAACCACGTAGCCGTTTTTGAGACAAGGATAACTCTATCACTAACCAAACCAGTGGTAGCAGTTGACATCTGAGTCAGATGACCGCCTGTATTACTTGGGATAAATGCAGGGGGTACCTATTGAGTTAATAGCCAACAAACATTGGCGAATCAAGGGGTCTAGCCGGCCTACGCCGCCTGGTACCTCTACTTCTCAAACAAAGTGACGGCGACTGAGTAACTCCAAAGTTAACTCATAGTCACTCCTTCAAATTTGGTATGGAACCTAAAAGGTTTGAGTCGTCCGCCTGTTTTAAACAAACAAGGGCACTCGAACCCCTATTCCTACTGGATAACCTATTAAGTTAATAGCTTACATTGGTGAATCAAGGGGTCTAGCCGGCCTACGCCGCCTGATACCTCTACTACTCAATCAAGATTGTGACAAAGACTAAGTAACTCCTATGTTACCTTAATAGTCACTCAAACTTAGTATGAAGCCTAAAAGGTATGAGTCGTCCACTTGTTTTTAATAAACAAAGGCTCTCAACCAATACTCTTGCTAGGTTAAAAAATAACGAGTTTAAAGCCAACATTGGCAATAAAGGGAAACAACCGGTACCCGCCGCTTGTTTTCCTACTTAAATTCCTTGGCTACTAGGTAATTCTATTTACTTGGTCAAATTGAATAAAGAGTTCGAATACCGATTGATTAAATGGCCGACTGATCATCTATCCTGGAAACAGACAACCAGTCGTCCAGGGGCATAGGCGGCATACTTACCTGTCTAAACGTTTGGCCATACACAACAGTCGGTCAAGTGAGCAAACTTCAAATACTTAGACAAATTTGAACAAAAACAAAATATTTGATTAAAATGAGCCGGCCATAAAAGACCAGCAGAATATTCAAAACCCCGGCCCCCTGGCCGGGTAATTACAAAGCAAACGGCACGCAGGCCGTGAAAAGAAAAAAATATACTTAAAGCTTAAGAAGGGGGCAGTTCAGTATCAGCAGCAGCCGCCTGGTCAGCACTCTTCTTGCTGGACTCGGCCTTAGCTGCATCATTTTTTGATGCCTTACCCCCAAGTGGCACAAGCGCCACAACCGGCTCTTCCTCCTCCAACGCAACGTCCATCGCCTCTTCTTCAGCAGCCGCCAGGATCTGTTGATTATATATTTCCGAACACTGGCGGTACGTTCTTTCCCATGAGGCAAAGTCGGCACTGGGGAACAGTCGTTCCCAGGTCATGCGTTGGATTTGGGCGGAGTCTTCCACCATCTCCCGGACGAGCTCTTGTTTCTCTTGCTCGGCCTTGTCCGAGAGCTCTTGGGTAAGACTCTTCTCCTGGTTCACCAGGCGTTCTTTTACGTTAGCCAAAGATTTCTCCATGGCTTCGTAAGAGTGCATTTTTTGGCGAAGGGGTTTCAGCTCGGTTTTAAGTTTGGTGACGGTCCCCTCCAGCTCGTCAACCTTCTTTTGGGCCGTCTCTAGCTGAGCCCGAACAGCGGCGGTCGCCTGCGCCTGATAATAAAGAAGATCAAGGGTCAGTACTTCATTTTGGGCAATTTGAAACATTGCCTTATCACAGCTGGAGGCGGCCATAGCCTTTACGGCCTTTACCTCTTTGTTTTTCCGATCAATCGGCTTGCGAAGGCTGTTGACTCGGAGCAGGGCCTAAGTACAAAGAAAAACAGGCGTCAGTTTCCAATCAAAAGAGTTAACAGGCGTCCTGGAACTCAAAAGCTCAAAAAGGTGCTAAGTATACCTCAGCTAGGATCCCCGAAATTCCATCGAGGTCAAGGGTGCCGGCACCCTTGACCGCCTCCCTGTCAGATGGAGGAACTATTTTAACCATTGACTTGGCTACCTCAACCAAGTCAAGTCCCTGGGGGCCGACTGCATTAAGCGAAAGGAAAAAACAAGTTAGACCTAATCAAGAAGGAAGCAAGGGTGAGTTTTTACAAGCAAGTGTCCATACATCTAGGCGGCCCCGCCTGGGTTTTTGAAGAAGTGGCCGGCTGCTTCTCAGCCGCCACTGTTTTCCTGGAAGACCCAGGAGAGCTTGCAACAGTCGTCCTCCGGGCCTTGGGGTCCGGCTGTTGCGAGGAAGAAGCCCTTGGAGTGCCAGACTGAAAACAAAAAGAGTTAGTATATGCATAATACAACTAAAAGGAGGAGTTTTCAAAGCTTACCAAGGGTGCCTCCTTGCTGGGGGAGTCGACATACGACTGCTTCATTAGTGAGACCCGCAGCATGGCCGCCGCAGTCTTAGATGCTGTTATTTTACTCATGGCGTCGGCTGAAAGAAATAAACAGCAAAGTTAGTAAAAATTCCAAGTAAACAAGGCGTGAAAAAACAGAGTATTCGTCAGGCCGGCTACCTCTAGAGCACCGACTGCCGAGGCCACAGGCGGCCAAGAAGTACTCGTCATAGAGCCACTTGAAGCTCGGGACGCAATTTAGGGGTACTTGCTCTCGTACCCCTGAAGTAGAGTTCACCCTAGTCTCTACTTTGAAGAGTCCTTTGTCTAGGATCTCTTTTTTAGCCTTTGGGGGAACAGGCGGCATGCTGCGGCCGCCTGCGAGAAGAGGTGGATCCCTGTTCCACTTATTAAAACGTTTGTTCAGCTCCGTGTCTGAACTCTCGATAATAAGGAAGGTGTTCCGCCAATCCTTCCATTTGTTTGCCTTACCTCTCGTCATGAGGTAACCCCTATGGCTTGTCAATTGATACCAGCCGGTACCTCCCGACTTGGGGGTCCGGCTGAGATAGTTCATGTGGGCGAAAGCCTCAAAACTTGGCTCCACCCCGTTCAGTTCGCACCCGGCCACATAGCCGAGTACGTTTACCCAAGAGTTGGGGGCTAACTGCCATAACCCCAGATCATACCCATCTAAAATCCGCTGAACAGCCGGATGTAATGGGAAGCGCAGTCCAGCTTTGATGGCCGCCACATAGCAGCCAAAGCAGCCGTCACCATAGCTGGTACCAGCCGGCCAGACGACAGTATCTTCTGGATCCGGCACAAACAGTAAATACTCCGGGCCCATTTTGTGGTTAGCAATAAAGCTCGCCACGTTGTCTCGCATGGTTGCAATCCGGCCCCGGGGCACCCTGCAGTAGTAGGGGGCGTTTTCCTCTCTGTAAGAGGCGGACGGCTCTGCCCAATTATCCCCCTTCTCCACTGCATGAGAACTTCTCGCCTCTTGTAGGCGGCTATGTTTTTCTTCTGAGCCAGAAGAACTATGGTCAGAAGAGCTGGATTCGGACTCGTCCCCTGACGAGTCCGAAGAGGACGACTCCTCCCCTCTCCTAGAGGGGCCCGCCTCCTCTCCCTTAGAAGGAGCAGAAGGAAAATTAGACATGTCCACGGTTAGATGAGAAGGGAACACCTTGGTCCCTCTCTCAGCACTGTCAGCTTGACAGTCGCCTCGTTCTACATCTGGCGCCTGGTCAGATGTTTCGCTAAGGAGCACCCTTTGGGAGGAGCCGTCTGAGTTTGATATCATAGCAGTCTTTTTTGTTCTGGCCATCACGTTCTGCATAGACACAGATTCAGTCGGACTTTGTATAAAGGGCAAAGATGGGTCCAGAAAAGGGCAGGCGGCACTCCTAGTCCTAGATTCAGCCGTCCCCGGTGACCGGCTGATCACTAACTTAGGGCGTGTCGTGTGCTTCCATGGTGCCATTTCAAAAAATAAAAAGAAAATTAAGAGTAAGAGAACTGAGTTACCTGAACGGGTGACGGTTGATGAAGTCCTGGAAGTTCGGGTCAGTCGGCTTGTCAGAACAGGCGGTAGGCAGAAAAAGTCCGAAAATGTCAGAGCAAGTTCAGGGGTCCGAATGTTCTCGCAAAAGTTCTCAAATGTGAAAATGACCGAAGTCAGCACTTCCTTTTATAGGCAAAATGAGAAGGCGAAGGGTCGCTTCCAAATTCAAATTTGGGCGGGAAAATCTCTCGGCCGTCTGCAAGGTGACACCTGTAACGGGCCGTCGCCTGTCACCGTGCGACACCTGTCACAGGCGACACGTGACCAGTCGCGTGCCACCTGTGAGGGGCAAATGATTAGGGGATTTTTATCCACCAATCACCGTCTGACAAGTGGACCAACCAGGTTCCGCCACGTGTCCTTCACGAAGGCCAACAGGAGCTTGCCACGTGTCAGTCACAGATACGTCCTCCACGGACCACTTAAGACACGCCACGTGTCCACCCATGCCAAGTGGGACAACCGGCCATCAAGGCCCATTTCAGTCTAGAGGCCCGATCAGCCCTAGGTTTACCTTAAACCTAGAGAGTTGCACGCTTCCCAAGGCTATAAATACTCGATTAATCCTCATTAATCAAAAAACAACAAAAAAACAACCGAATAATTAAGAGATCAAGCAGAGAAGAACAGACTTATTAACAACCGGCTAATCTCGCTAACGACGCAGATTACCAACACTAAGCACTCTCACCTAGAGAGATCTCATTACTTTACTTTCTGTATTGATTACTCCTTAATCAGGTACTAACTTGACCGTTGGAGGCGGAGCTCTCAGGAGTCTCCGTTATTTTGCAGGTACAGACGTCCGGTTCCAGTCTCGGAATTGTAACTCTCCCGCAGGACATCAGAAAACCCCGAAACAATAACCATATATCCATCATCACTTTTTATTTTTAAAATACTTTTGTTATACACTTACTTTTACTTGTCAAGTTAGTTCATTTAAATTATACTTGCAAAGTTTGGACCAATTAAATGCTTTTAGAGTTAATCTTCATATAAGCAACCTCAGCTCATGATCCAACTTGATATATATTCTATCATGTGTGCAAATAATCTTTTTGTTTCTAGTATACAATGTCAAATACAAAGATAATCAACAAAAATATTCAACGGTATGAAATAAAATACAAGATATTCATCAGATTGGTTACTGGTGAAGTAAAAAAGTTCCCAATGTCCCAATTATTGGAAAAAAAAAAAAAAAAAACAAAAAAAAAAACAAAAAAAAAAACTACTATCTTTGTAACTATTGATAAAGAATAAGATCGAACATAAACTACATACAGGCAAATTCTGAAGTTAGGATAAACCGCTGCTGCCAAATGAACTAGCCAAGCTCGAAAGAGGGGAGATGGAAAGTTTGATCGTGTGGCTGCCCGACGATTTATGTATATCTATACACTCCTCTAGATCAGCATCACAAGTTAAAAGAACCCATTCTTTATCATCATCCAAGTACTTGATTCCCATCTTACTCAAGTCTTCTAAGTGAAATCTTTTCACAATTTCTTGTTGCAGGTCTAGGAATCCCATGTTTGGTAAGATGGAGAACCGAACTTTCTCATCCCCGAAAGTAGCTTTAGCTTTAAAAACACCTGCCTCCCTCGAAAGCCAACTTTTTGTTATTGGCAGAGGAGGCAGAGTTTCAAAAGAAGGATGCTCAGCAAGTGTTTTATTGCTCTGAGATCTTTCCAATATCTGGCTAGCTTCTTTTTTACTACTTATTAGCACTTGTAATTCTGCTTCACTTCTAGCCCTCTTGAGAGAACCGCTAGGATCTTCTATTGTCGATGCATCCTTACTCCCAGAGGCAATGGTTGTAACAGGAGATGACATCTTTGCTCCACTTGAAAAGCAGTAACTAGAAGTGGAGGTTTGGCTGGAAGAGGTAGAGGCCGGGGAGTTAGAGTTTGTGCCTCCTGTAGGGTGTATTGTCCCTTCAGGTTGAGTTGTTGGTTGTTGCTTTGGTTGATTGTTTAAGTTTATCGACGATACTTGACTTTGTTTTGGCTGTGTAGTTGGGCTATTAAGTTCAGGGAATTTTGAATAGAAGGAAGATAGTTGTATGGAGCCTTCGGCCCCTTGCACTGAGTCAATGACCAGTTGAAGTTTCCTTAGAGAATGATCCACCTTCTTGATCTTTCTAGAAGGCCATCTTGCAATTCCATGTTGCCTACATATCCTTTTCAAAGTTGTGGGACAAACTGCAAAAATATAATTACAGAGGGAAAAGGATTACTCATAGGTCTGAGAGTAAGACAGCATGAAGCGAAAACATAATTTATACCTTCCTGTAAAGTTAGATTAAGCAAAACAATGTGCACCATCGAATTCCTGCCATTTGAAATCTAAGCTTAGCTATATTTTTGGAAATTTTAATGGAATATATATATTTTCGGAAAAGATGTTTGTGTAACAGGAAATGTCAACTGGTTGCCAAGAATATTACAAAAAAATTCTGTTTATTATGTTCTGCACTAGCTAACAGTAAGTATGATATTCAATCAGAATACAAAAATATTTTCAGTTGATAGGTATAAGTCATCTTGTTTCTTGAATATTACACCGCGATTAAGAGAGTACATCATTTCATAACATAGGAATATTTTATAAATGCAATTATAAATGGGGTCACATTATGTACTATAAGAATGTTACCTCCAATGCTTCTAGCTGCATCTTTTAGACTACCAGCAAAATATTGCCTGAGTACATCCAAACTGATTGTTTTCTGAGTCTTGGTCCTCCTCTTTTCACTTCTGGCACTTAGAGGAAGTCGGCCTCCAGACGATGTACCACTTATTCCTTTAGACCCCGAATCTTGGTTGATGTTTTCACTATCAGAAAGTGCCTGTCCAAGTTGTAAACTTGGCTCGTTATCACTCCAGTTCATCACCTTAAATCCTTTACTAGGCTCGTCTTCTCCAAATTCCAGTGAAACCACAACCTCCTTACCCTTTCTCTGAGGTTCCATCATCTGTGAAAACCAGGAAGTCTCTTTAGTCTCATTATCTGCAGCCGGCTTTCCAGGGAACAAGACCTTCTGCTCAAAGTCCTTGTCTGTGATAAAATTCAGATACCGGCAATGCTGCTGTATGACCATTGACACAGACTGCCATATTCTAGAATGAAAAGCTAGACCTTTTTCTTGAACATTTGATGGTAAATAAAATTCTAAAACATAATCGTTCTTCTCATGATAGATGCTACGGAGCCTTACTGCTACTGCACCGCGCAACCCAATCATCCTTGCGTGGTGAGACAGAGGATATTCAACCTTACTGAACTCTGTGATATCAGTAGCATAACAAGGCTGGTTGGTGTCAAATGCTTTGCCAACTATACCTCCTTGGCTTCTTAATAAGTGGTGGTCCGAGCAGGCCTTGTGAAAATCCATAACTCGTTGATCACGCACATAACAAGCAGAATCAATAATTGAAACACAATTAACATTGTTTTCAGAATGCCAACATCCGCCTTTTCCTTCTTGTGAGCACGGAGCCCATGTTTGAGCTAAAGGCAAATCAAGTGTATCACATACAGCTCTCACCACAGTTAATATCTCGGGTTGTACAGCATCATAAGTTCTTTTACCGGACTGAAAAAATAAATTAGACAAATTTAAGAAGATATTGATGTCAGAAATACAGAAGAGCCAGTTTCTTCTTTTATTTTCAGGATACAGGCTATTTACTGAGTATTAATGTCTGTAATAGTATGCATCAAATTACCTGTTCCGGAGGAGTGTCAAGAATTTCTGAACTCCTAAGATGAACAGTCTGCATAAAATTGAAACACAGATGAGCAAATGTTGCTGCTTAGAAAAGCAAATTAGGACTTTTAAGACGGCACTGAACTAGACAGCTACAACAACATTCATTAAACAGACGTGATTACCCCATAACAAAAAAGCGCAAAAACATCCAATCAATTTTAAGAATACCCCCCATTTAGTCAACAAAATTGCCCCTTACCCATAAGTTATGTAAAATGAAAAAAAAAACAAAATATGAAATTTGAGATCATCCTTAATAAATCAGTAGAATGGTAAAGTAAGGAAAGAAAAACAGACCTCAAGTGCTTTACAAACGCTTTCAATTTCAGGACGATAGTCGAATTTATCAGTAGTCATGATAATCTCAACAACACCCAAGGAATCACCACTGCCCTTCTCGAAAACAGGAAGTGCAATGGAGCCACGAACATCAAACTGTCGTGCATAAACTTGACGTGGGTACTCCTCCGTCCTAAAATATCGAACATCAGGCGTCCATTCAGGCGCCTTGCCAAGGAAGACTCGCCCAGGCAATCCATGTGCCTGTTTAGTATCTTCGTCTGCTAAAAACTCATACTTCTCTGAAACATCTCTGTAGTGGAGCAACCGTATACTCGAAGGTTGGTGAAAGTACGGTTGCTCCACTGTTGTTAGGAAACTCTTTAGTCCTTTCTTAATAGGCACCCATATCTGAATCAGCACATCTCTATTTCTATTCAAGTCTCTCCAACTACTTACTGCTCTCATCAACCTTTCTCTGACAGAACTTGAAGGACCTGAATTCGCCTTGGGTCCTATCCACAAGATTCTGTTCAGCTCATTGCCTTCCCATGAGAAGCTGCGCGCTTGGTTCAGAACTGCTGCTGCTGCTGGTGGTGTTATCGCGCTGTCATCCTGATTTTCTGAATCCACTGCCTGTTCTGCCTTAGGACTCCACTTTTCGCGGTAGCTACTACGCTGATTACCTGGTGAGGTCAAACTGCTGGAGACAGGCTCCAAACTAGGGAAAGAAAATGATGAAGGATAACTCAAGCCGCGAGATGTGGATGGACTTATTGGACCCTGACCCTGACCCGAACTCGTTCCTGACTGCAGAAGGTTTGACCCATCAGCTGTTTGTAACCAACATCCATCATCTAAGAGCTGTTCCATTAAATCATAGTCAATGTTTCCAAAAACTGGCGGATTGTTTGTAGGATTAAAGGAACCATCATCCATATTCAGAGACTTCTGTTGTATAAAATTAACTATTTTTTTTTCTTAGACTAATTTACAAAACTTTTATAAATACAAATTTTATTTTTGTTTTTGTTACAGAAGACCTTTGTTTGAAGTTTTAAATATTATGACCCAAAACTCCAAAGTAGTCTAAATATGTAGAACAAATAACAAAACTCCCAAGAAGGATCTCTATCTTCTATCTTGAAGAACTCAATCTGTTTGAGGTGTTGAAACAGCATCTTCAATTCAAAAGTCCTCTCTCAACTGAAATTCACAACAATTCCAAATTAGTGAGAATTTGGTTGATTTTGCATTTCATTAATTTCGAAACAAAAAGAATAAAAATCAACATTGAATAAGGTCATATATAAATTAGCAAACAAAAATCCTAGATAATAAAATAGATGCTCGGAATTTATCAAACTTAACTATAAATTGTGATATGATGTTAAATTTTGCATATATATTCAACAAAACAAAGAATAACACTTGTCTCTTAAACACAATTAAATCATGCAAAATGATAGTCAAAAACAAAACAAGACCCATTTCTCAAAACAAAAAACCCATTATGTGTAACAAATATAAGCTCCAAAAACTAACCATGAAAAGAAAGAGAGGAGAGAGAAAATTTAGAGAGAGAGAAACCAAAAAAAGAAAGAGGGCACTAACTTTGTGGAGAATCCTAGGAGATATCAAAGTGATTTGCATCTCCAAATAAAATGAGAGAAAGAAGAAGAGATATTTGTGTAGTTAAGTCAGATAATGATGATCATGAGTATGATTATGATGATATTATAGTTGTAATTTTAGTTAGTAAGATGAGGAAAATTACAAACAATCATACATACTGGGTTTTTGTGGGTGGGTACCTTCTTCTTTGTCCATACCAATTATACTTACATCAGCAAACAAGCAGAGCTTTTTTAAAAATAAAAAATGTAAAAAAATTATGTTTATTTGTATTTGTTTATTTACTTAATTTTGATTAATTATATACCTAAGACTGTCCATAACATGGCAATTTTTTAATTATTTTTTTAATCCTGGACTCTCCTGCTTCTTGGGTCTTTTATTGGAGAATCTACTCATCTGTGGGACCCTTGCTTACCTCATTTTTTTATTTTATTTTTAATTAAAGTCCATTTTTTTATGAGCACCCTTTTTTAATTTTTACCTTATTTTTCTTCTTAATATACCAATACATTGCATCTTAAATTAGAAACATGTATGTGTATTATACATTCAGGTAAGTAGTTGGTTGATAAGAACCGGTTATATTAGCTGGTTTATCTAGCTAATTGTATTACATGTTTTGACTAGTTGGTTGCTTTAGTTGTTTGTACAAAAGTATTGATAAATTGCTTGATCATTTGTAAAAGGTTGAGCATAACCAACTCAATAAACCATCTCTTTATCAAACAACCAAAACGGGAGGCATATGGAATAATCAACCTTCACAATTGGATCATAGTTTATCAATACTCTCTTTACCTAACAAAGTCTTGGTTTAAGATGTCTAAGTGACAATATATAGCATAAAATTGCTAAATATACTTAATACTCCATATTTCCTTTTAGATACATTCGGGATTATAGGAGGGATAGTATGGCTTATACATGTAATGTATTGTAAAGGAAAACTGATTTGTTGAAGGTGATGCCCAATTAAAAAAGATGGGGTTGAAAGGAACATTTTGGTTTTGGACCACTGTTTAGTGAATTTCAGTTTGTTGTTAATAATTTTTTACCAATTGCCTTAGATTATGAGATTTTAATGTAGATTTGAATGAAACAAGCTAAGACTCGGTATATACTGTTAAATTGGTTCAATAATGTTACAGGTATTTTATTCAGTTCTTTGTGTCACAAAGTATGTTGGTATTTTGACTCTTTATGCCCTCCTTTGCTAGAAAAATAACAGACAAAGTTCGGTTGATACTGATTCATTGCCATTTCACCTAATTAGTCAATTGCATACCATAACATATAATGTTCATTCTTCTTAAAATATTTATAAGTCCCAAAATCATTTTATGAAATCAAATTTTATTTTTGTAAAATTTACTCACAACTTATAATTTACATTTAAAAAAAAAAAAAAAAAAAAAAAAAAAAAAAAAAAGCCTTCTAGTCATCATCAAAAGTCATATAAGTCAAAAATATGTTTATGTTTTAGAGTTTAAAGAGATGTAATTGAGGTTAATTAATTCAACATTTAGAACATAAACTATGTCTTGAGTCCTGAGTACATTTTCCTTTCTAGTTTATGTACAACTAGTGCATATAAGAATATTTTTGTACCAATAATTAATATAGCTTTGTTCAATATTAATAATCACTAGCATAGCTATTTATAAGATGTATATAATGCTGAAAATTAATTAGCACAATAATTATAGTTATGACCTTCTAATAATACTCCACATTTGACATAATACTCCTTTTACTAATTTTGTTACTTTTATAATATGGTTGACAAAATATTTATAGAATTTGTAACCCGGTTGATTTATCTTAGAAGTAAGTGAAGAAGATCATATGGACTTCACCCACTGAAAACCCCACTTGCAAATATACTGTGCTCACCGCTTTCTTTGAGCAAGGCCCGGATATTTTTTACGAAACTGAGCCCTATTAGCAAACTATTTATGAATATAGACGCGTGGTCAAACTATTTACGGAATTGAGCTTCTGAGGTAAAACGCTGTCTCGCTCAGCGTTTTACCTCTGTTATTATTTTTTAAAAAATTTCTTATTTAGTGAAATACAAATTTTTTTTTAAAAAAATATGGAAATACATAAAAACGCTGCCTCAGTCAGCGTTTTTGTCTCAGGCTGTAACAACCCTTAAAACGCTGACTGAGACAGCGGTTTTGCCTGGTATATTTTTCGCGCACTCACTCTTCCTCAAAACTAAAAACTCAAACTCACTCTTCCTCACGCAATAGCCTATCTTCCTCAAAGCTCTGCCGTCGCCGCCGCCGCCTGCTGCCTGCCGCCGTCGCCGCCGCCTATTGCCTGCTGCCGCCGCGCCTCTCCTCTTCTTTATAATCACATTGTTAGTACTTCTCACTTATTTGTTTTTAAAATTTAAAAACCTAGGTTAGTTTGATAATTATATACTACATTGTTTTAATTTGATAATGTTGTTGTTTATTCTAAGTTAGTTTGATGTAAATTGACAATTATGTTGATAATTCTAAGTTGGTTTGTTGTAATTTGATAATTGTCTAGTATAAAAGCCCTAAATTGATGTTAGTTTAGTAAGAAAGTTTATGATGAAATTGTGGAAATGTTTGATAAAATTGTTGAAAATGTTGATGAAATTGTTGATAATGTTGATGAAATTGTTGTTTTAGTTTGATAAAGTAGCCTACATTGTTGTTTAATTACGAAAATTTTGTTATGTAGAATATGTTGGTTGTTATAGTGTGAATATGTTCGTTGTGTACTTTGTTGTGGTTGTAATGTGAATTGGAACAATGTTGGTTAATTATGTTTATAGTGTGAATATCTTGGTTGTTTTTGTGCGAATTGGTGGAGATTGCATGCAATTAAGATGTATTTTTGGTTGTTGTATAGAATATGGCTGCACAAAACGCAGCTTTGTTATGCCGATGGGGGGGTGAATTTGTGTCTGATGGACCGAATGTCCAGTATAGTGCGAGACATGCTCGAGCGTACCTTTTTCTGCTCATCTCGGGTGTGTTGTTCGGTGGCAAGAGTGGCAACCATTTACAGATCATTTACCTGCAGCTGGTAGACCACGACTGGGAGCATATTCGTGGCTACAGCTGGGCGGTCCCCAAGCTGACATATGCGCATGCGGCGAGGGGCCTGCCGTACTACCGAGACGCCCTTGATCGACTGACCGAGGATCAGGTGAAATCTTTAATTTGTTTATGAAATTGTTATTTATTATGTATACTCTTAACATATTTAATATGCACTAACCTATTTATTATGTTACTTTTTATGTGTTATCGCAGATGACATGGGACCCGTATGAAGCTGATTTAGTTGCTGCCATGCCTCCACATCTGCTAGATCATCAGGCGCAGTGGCGTTCTAGGGTCCCCCTGATCTGTTTTGAGGTCGTCGAGGGTCACCTACCAGATCGATTCATGCAACAGTTTGGACTACGACAGACTGTCCCCCAGCAGTGTGACACTAGTGCCCAGCTGCACCGCATTGACCGCCGGGGAAAGAGCGACAGGAGCTGGCGGACGGAGCATGCCCAGTACATTGACTTATGGCATCGACGGTTGGAGTTCGTCGTCACTGGTGACCCCATCCACGGCGTTATGGATCCATACGATCCATACATGGAGTGGTACATGCGGATTACACGGCGTTTATCAACCCCAGCTACACACCGCCATCCGCACATTACCATCCATCCTTTGACGTGATCAGGGGATATGTAAGTGTATTTGATTAACTTATTTTTATCAATTTCAAATTTGTATATCATTCAACTAACTCATCCTTAATTACTGCAGGCGTTGGATATGACGGCGATGGTTGACGCACTGTCGGACGTCCTTCCAGGCATACCTGAGCCGCCCAGAGCACAGGTCGAGCGGGTGCGAGATATGGGCATGGCTACCTTGCAGAGATATGGTCACGCCTATCTCGTCCACCCCCGGGACGATCATGGCGGCCACTCTAGTCACTCACAGTTCGAGGCTGGCCAGAGTAGATGTGGGGGTGATCCTTCGTCATTCACGGGCGCAGAGGAGTACGACATTCGCAGTTCCGCGCCCCTACGTCATCCTGATGACCCATCTTCCATCCAGCTGACTCCGCCAGTACGCCCGAATCCATTTACCACGGTCCGTCACTACAGCCGTCGTCAAAGGCCGAGAGTGGACATACAGGATAGAGAGCCGTTACACCAAATTGATGAGTCAGAATAGGATAGAATTATCTGATTTATTTGCTTTAATGACCTTCTCTAGTTTGTTGTACATAACACTTACATTACATTATTATTTGAATAATTATTTGAATGAATTTATGTCTTGTTTGAATTTCATATTCCTTATTTGTCCACGTTTGACTCATTTCGTTCAAAATAAATTGTGGATGTGGAGGTGGTGGATGTGGAGGAGGATGGGTGGTGGAGGTGGTGGATGTGGAGGAGGAGGATGGTGGAGGTGTTGGAGGATGTGGAGGAGGAGGGTGATGGTGGTGGTGGATGTGGAGGAGGAGGGTGGTGGTGGTGGATGTGGAGGAGGAGGGTAATGGTGGTGGTGGTGGTGGATGTGGAGGAGGAGGGTGATGGTGGTGGTGGATGTGGAGGAGGAGGGTGGTGGAGGATGTGGAGGAGGAGGGTGGTGGTGTTGGTGGATGTGGAGGGGGTGGTGGATGTGGAAGGGGGCTGCACTGGCTGCTGTTGGGGGCCTGCTGTTGCTGCCTTCAGCCAGCAGATAAAACGCTAACTGAGGCAGCGTTTTATGCTTAGGTGTAAAACGCTGACTCAGTCAGCGTTTTTCTCTGTTATGGATACAAGAAAAACGCTGACTGAGTCAGCGTTTTACTGTATTTCCATTTTTTTAAAAAAAATTTGTATTTCACATAATACGAAATTTTATAAAAAAAAAAATAATAACCAAAGGTAAAACGCTAACCGAGGCAGCGTTTTATGTCAGAAGCTCAGTTTCGTAAATAGTTTGGCCACGCGTCTAGATTGGTAAATTGTTTGCCAATTAAGCTTACTTTCGTAAAAAAAATCCACCTTTTTTGGTCTAAAAGGAGTAACATACACTCTTTAATTTATTCTAAATGAACTACGACTACATAAAACAAGATGAGGGTATAGGATCCAAAATTGAAGGTGATAAACTAATAGACTAATAGTGTTATTCGGATACTGATAATAGTTCAGTAAATACACTCCTTGACATATATTTCGTATATATTAAAGTGTCGCTCATACTATG